GAACCAGTTGTGTTGGCTCTTGCCTTTGCATTGGGCCATTTCAGCAATGTGGAAAGAGGGGATCTGCTGCTTGGGTAACATCCTATCCTCCATACTACTTTACCCAGGCTTCATGCTCTGGAGAGAACACTTCTCGATACAGAGCATGTTACCATAGTCTCTCGAGACTGAAGGATGCCTATGATGATGATTCCAACATCCCAGGTCTTTTGCTCAGTTACAGGTGTCATATCTTGCCGTTGAACAAAGGTAGCTCTGATGCAGAGGTTTGATCCAAATGGACCTTTGGTGAGATGATATTTTTCCAGGAAGAAATCAGTGGTTTGGCTAATATCAGTTAAGAGAGTGGAGAGAACGCTAGACTAGGATTCGGGTTCAAATCACTGTTACTTGGCCATGGAAACTCTGTGTGCATGTGTGTGTGTGTGTGTGTGAGAGAGAGATTGTTCTCATCTCATCCACTGTGGAGACAGCAAGAGGTAGAAGAGATGCCAGGATTGAAACAGACAAGAACGTTAGTATACAAGAAATATAAGATAAAGATAAGAAAGGGTGCCACATGTTTTGAGACTGAAAATAAATTCCTTGCCAGTTGTATATAAAGCACAGGTCTGTACATCTCTCATAGGGAGTCTGTATAAGGCTGGATCTCTGTGAAGTTCTTGTTTTGTTTGATTATGGAAAATACACCCTAGCCAGAGCATGATGTACGTTTAAAGCATAGAGATCTACTATCACCTAAGAAGGCCTGTGGTACACTCGGTACTCCATTTTGATCTACCCTCTAAGTAATTATCTAAATTTGGTTCCAACTGCCTGGGGATAATCATTTTTTTCTGGATTGTAATTTCCAGAACACTCCAGGGCCATGCTGGTTAGGGGATTCTGGGTGCTGTAATCAGAAGTCTCATTTCCAAGTTCTTGGTATAATATCGAATAACTGGGTAGCAGTTGTTTCTATTCAGATCATTTGGTTGAGTACCAAAGAGAAGTATGTCTGTTTTCTGAACAAATCAGTAGTGATTACGTTTTCTTAAAACTTCTTCTCCTTCTTCTCTTCCCTCTCCTCCTCCTCCTCCTCTAGGTACTTTGAATTTTATGAAGGTCCTTTAGCGTTCAACTCCTCAAAATGTCTGGAGCTGAGGCGGGACATCATTGAGGTGAAGGTACTTTCAATGTAAGTGAGACCCGAAAGATTTTTGTTCTTTGGTCTTAAGAATCATTCAGCTGGAAGGGACTTAGAAGGCCATCGAGTCCAACACAGGAATCCAAATCAAAGTAGATCCAACAGAGGGTTGTCCATTTCTTGAATGCCTCCAATGTTGGAGCGCTCACCACTTCCCAAATTAATGGGTTCCATTGTTGTACTGCTCTAACAGTTAAGCAGTCTTTCCTGCTATTGAGCCGAAATCTGGCTTCCTGTAACTTGAGCCCATTATTATGTGTCCTGCACTTTGGGATGATTGAGAACAGATCCTCCCTCCTCTGTAGGACTACGTTTCAAGCATTTGACAAGTTCTATTCTCTCCCTCCCTCCAGTCTTCTTTTCTCAAGGCTAAACATGGCCAGTTCTTTCAGTCTTTCCTCACAAGGCTTGGTTTTCTCTCTTACTTCCAGTCAAAGTATAGTTAGCAGCCGGACTGACACAGTACAGTTGAGTGGCTTATGGGCTGAGTCAGCATAACTCTTGCTAAATGGCTCTGTTGGAATGCACTCTTGTTTCTTCACACTGTGGTGTTTTTCTAGCTTCCCTTCTATAAAAGTGTCTTTTTCTTATTCTCTCTACCCCACCCCTGCTTCTGCTGTCTTCTCCCTTCGGGAGATTTCCAAATTTTCATGCTTCACTGGTCTAAAGTACAAAATGACCTAGTTCCTTAAGAACTATACAAGAGCACGTTACCATAGTCTCTCGAGACTGAAGGATGCCTAATCAAGGTTAAGGTTAGGGTTCCCCTTGACATTTCGTCCAGTTGCGTCCGACTCTAGGGCGTGGTGCTCATCCCCATTTTCCAAGCCGTAGAGCCAACGTTTGTCTGAAGACAGTTTCCGTGGTCACGTGGCCAGCGTGACTAGACACAGAACTCCACGACCTTCCCACTGAGCCTTGATTCTAGCTTCTTAATAAAGGGGGAGGGTAGCATCTCTTAACCCAAAGTAGCAAATACCCCCATTGGCAGATGGGCTGCCTCTTGAGCCCAGCTCTGGAGTTAACTAAACATTCATCTCTAGTCCAATATTCTCTTCCTATCTTGCTTTTAGGGTGAAGCAGACCGAATTGTTTGAGAGGTGGAAGAATCTTCAGATGTGCAAATGGGAGATGAATATCACAGAAGCCAACTTCTTCAAGTAAGATGGTACTCGGCTTGGAGGAGAATGAGGCCGCAGTAACGCTGTGGGCCAAAATGCCTGTCTTGGCCTGTCAGATTTGCGATTAGGTTTTGCAGTTTTTTGAGTTCGTCATTGTCTGAGCTCAGAAAAGTTTATTTTGGACTACAGCTCTTGGAAAAGTAACTTTTCCAAGCTGGGATCATTCTTTACGTCTCTGAAATGTGAGCAGCGTTGCTTACAGTGGTAGCCATAGGTGACTCATAATTACAACAGGGATTCCCCCCCCCCCAAAAAAAAAATTGGGGCTGAGATACTCTCTTTTCCGGTTCAAGAGCTGCATCTGGGGAATATTAGGGCTCCTAAGAGGTTCCATATGGTCCACCCCTAATCGAGATGTTTCAACTTCCAAAATGGTAGCATGAGATCTTCAGCTGCAGGAGAAGGCTTGGGGATTTTAGGAGCTTCTCAGGGAAGCGATTCACCTATTAAATTGGCCACGGGTCTTTCCTGCAGTGCTTTAAAAGGTTCCCCGTTGACAATTTGTCCAGTCGTGTCTGACTCTAGGCGGCGGTGCTCATCTCCGTTTCCAACCCATAGAGCTAGTGTTTGTCTGAGGACAATCTTCCGTGGTCACGTGGCCAGCGTGACTAGACATGGAACGCTGTTTACCTTCTCACTGAGGTGGTACCTATTTATCTACTCACATTTTTGCATTTTGCATGGTTTCGAACCTCTAGGTTGGCAGGAGCTGGGACAAGCGATGGGGGCTCACTCCGTCTTGTGGATTCGATCTTATGACTGCAGGTCTTCTGACCTTGCAGCACAGAGGCTTTTGCGGTTTAACCCGCAGCGCCATCACGTACAAAATATCCATTTTTCAAAGTGGGATTTTGGTCACTTCCCCCTTTTTCTGTTTTTGTATTGTGGTCTGTGGGGACCCCAGTGGATGCTTGGGAGACAGAATTGGGTGCAGACCAGCTGAAATGATCCCGCCTCCATTATAGAGATTCCTAACCCTCCTATACCACAGCTGTTCCATGGATGGGGAATTTATGGATCTCAAATTACAGAATTCCACTTTATCATGCTGTCTGTGCGATTCTGGGAGTTACAGCCCCCAAAATAACTTGTTGTTGTTGTTGTTGTTGTTGTTGTTGTTGTTGTTGTTGTTGCTGCTGCTGCTGCTGCTGCTGCTGCTGCTGCTGCTGCAACAGTTCCTATGCCTCCTTTGAGAAAGCTGCATCAATTCCATCACCAAATCAGAGGGTTGGAAGGGATAATCTGACTTTACCCACAAGATATAGGAATTCTACTAGTATAGCAACCTGAGAATAACAATCTAGACTCTACTTACAGATCTTCTAATGAAGGGGAATCCATCACTTTCCAAAAAAACCCTTCCACCACTGCAAGACCCATTGTTTCAGGAAGTGCTTACTCATAATCAAAGCCCCGGTCCCTTCAACCTCATTGCTTGAGGCTTTGAAGTTCAGGCTTCGTCTTTCAGAGCCAACCGGGAGTGAATTGGCTCCATCCTCTCTCTGACAAAGGCTGGCTATCATATCATCATTTTCCTAGGTTAAAAATGCCTAATTTTTTCGATATCCTTGGGTGTCTGGCTTCAGGTTTATGTTTGACCTTGCAACAGTCAACATTCCCTCTAATTTTCTGCTAGCATGAGCTGGAGGCCACCCAACATGCACAGGGTTCTTCTGATTGCAGCCGGAAGCAAATGGGTGGGAACTCTGGCTCAGCCGTGTGGCTGCACAGCTTAGAGGAAACATTGGCTGCAGTTGATGGGTGCAACTTTTCCCTCCCCAGGTCTACTTTGGCCAGATGTTGCAATGCACCAGCTTTCCTCTTCACCACGCAGAAAAACACTCCTTTGGGAACTAAACTGAAATATGAGGTGGACACAAGCGGGATCTTCCACATCAACCAAGAGATATTCAGAATGTTTCCAAAGGTAACAATATCTGTGATTCATTTGCAGTAATTCCTGATATATTACCACTTTATCTAAAAGTGTACCTGTTAGTGTTTTGTTTCAAACTGGTGTCCGAACTAGAGACGGGCGCTTAGAAATATGCGTATTAGAAATGAAGCCCTGTGCTGCAGATGATACTGAGTCCTGTCTCCCATGCCCATGGCTCACTTACTGGGCTCTGTGTGGCATAGAGATCTGCCTTCAGTGCTGGCACACCAATCCAGGAAGGAGCCCGGTTGGCCCTTCCCTGCCTCCCCATGCAGCTGACCACTCATTGGCTGAGTGGGAAGACTCTGCACTGCAGTGGGTGGCTGCCTGGGGAGGCAGTAAAGGCTGGCTGGGTTCCTTCTGTGCTACAGGTGATACTGAGACCTGTCTCCCACGCCCAGAACCAGCTGGCCTGCTTACTGGGCTCTGTGCGGCATAGGGATCTGCCTTCAGCGCTGGCACACCAACCTGGGAAGGACCCCAGTTGGCCCTTCCCTGCCTCCCCATGCAGCTGACCACTCATTGGCTGAGTGGGAAGACTCTGCACTGCAGTGGGTGGCTGCCTGGGGAGGCAGTAAAGGCTGGCTGGGTTCCTTCCCAGTTCCGTGTACTGGTGCTGAATGCGGATTCCTATGCCTCACAGAGCCCAGTAAGTGGGCCAGCTGGTTCTGGGCATGGGAGATGGGAATCAGTGCCACGTGCGCTGCTGGGCTTCATTTATAATATGAATACGAAGTGCCCGTCTCTAATCTGCACTGTCCTTGTTAGTCCCTTGGCCTTTGCCGATGCATTTCTGTGCAGCAGCTGATAGCCGCTATAACTTATATTTAGCCCTTGTGTCATTGAAATATATCCATTTCCTGCTGCAACAGAGCATTAGACTCCATGACATTTGGGGTCATTTTCAGTACTACAGTTCTGTGATGTCCAGTGAAGCTTACATGAGGACAGTGCCCGAGAGTGCTATAAAAATCCCAGGGCAAGGCCTGATAATTCTGTGAAAAATATATATTGATGATAATTTATTAGAGTTTCAGATGTGCGTAATCTTGTTTGGTCTCACGGTGGGTGGCTTGGAAACTCTACTAGAGCAGGACAGAAGCAGAGTTTTGCATCCATTTGGTTAGCAACCTACATGGGAGGCCATGTAAGTATTGTGGATAATTCATAGTTCTTTTCAGTTAGCAAAAATGTCAGGTACGAATGACAACTGCACAGAGAAAGCATAAGAGAATGGGTCAAGTCTCAAGAGTCACCCCCTTCACAGTAACTAGTGCTTTGTAGTTCCAAATCACTCTGGAAGCATGTTAAGTAGAAAAAGAGAAAAGCATCTTTACTTACAATTGGCGCCAGTGATTTTTAACATATAAAGGGATAGTTACTGTAAGTGGGGGGGGGGGGGGGCAACTGTGAGACATGAGCTACTTATTCTCTTATGCTTTCTCTGTGCAGTTGTTTGTTCTTGATCCTCTGCTAACCAAACAGGATGATCTATGATCTACAACACTTATGTGCCTACCAGACCTTGGAAATCTGAGAAAGCTTAGCCCTGCCTAGCCACTTCTGCCATCTTTATCATGTCCAAGTGAAACCATTATCTCTCAGCTCTGAGTGATGACAGAGACCTGGAAAGACTTTTTCCTCCCACCCTTGTTGTTAAAGCCCCCAGAAGTTTTGCTTGTGGGAATCCTGCAGATTTCTGCAGTCCACGAACTCTGAAAATCTCATGCCTAATAAAAACTTCATGTGGTTGCAATCACCACGTGTCCTCATTCCATCCAGGATGGCTATCAGAACTTGGCTAAGTTCTTTTTTTAAAAAATTAAAACTCTCAGACCCTCCCAGCCTAGATGGGTAGTAGGTCTGCTGGCTGTGGGATTGTGGGAGCTGTAGTCCACAAAAGTAACTTTGCCAAATGCTGGCAGCCTCTAGAAGTGTTCCTGGTACTGATGAAGGGCCCCAACGTGTCCCCCTTTTGCTCTAGGAGATGCCGTACTATCGTTCCCAGTTTAAGAAATGCGCTGTGGTTGGAAACGGAGGGATTCTGAAGAACAGCCGATGCGGACGAGAGATTGACAGTGCAGATTTTGTCTTTCGGTAATTTTCTCAGCATGATTCCTTTCTCTATGTTGAAATAATTGTGAAAGGTTACTGGCAAATGTTTTCCTATTAGTGTTTGGTCAGTCTCTCAAGTGTCTTCCTTCTTTCCTCCGTTCCCCCTGTCCCTCCCTCCCTCCCTTCCTTCCTTCTATCCATCACTAGTGCCTTCCTTCCTTCCTTCCTTCCTTCCTTCCTTCCTTCCTTCCTTCCTTCCTCCATTTCCATTTCCATTTCCATTTCCATTTCCCTCTCCTTCCTTCCTTCCTTCCTTCCTTCCTTCCTTCCGTCCTTCCTTCCTTCCTTCCTTCCTTCCTTCCTTCCTTCCTTGACCCTCAGTTATTGTCAATAGCTTTTCAAGGCAGAGTGGGCAAAATTAAGTCGTGAGCCCCAATTTTCTTGTATTGTTAGTAGACGACAGAAGGGCTGATTGACAAATAAATGGCTTGAACCTGTAGAAAATAGCTCTGCATTTATTTTGTTTTATTTTATTGTTTATCTTGTAGGCCATCTTTCTTTCTGTGAGAGCATCGAAGGAGTCTCACAATGAGTAATACTCAAAACAAAACAAACACTCACACACCCCCAAAAAATCCACACAATAAATTACAGATTAAGAAGCAATTAAACTTCAGCATTATGAAAGACAAGTTTTCCTGAAATGTGGGTTGGCCGCCTTTATTTCTATGCTCAGTTTTGAAAAGTCCTTTCCGAGCTGCCGCTCCCAGGATGGATCTGGGAGTCAGGGTCAAAAAAGGGTAACTTTCCCAGTTTTGTACATTCATTTTTACTGTGAGCTATTGTAAGGGTTATTCTAGGAGGACTTCGTGCATGGTGGTCGTGAAGCCCTGCCAAGCCCTACTTTTCTTGGGATTCCTCAATTACCGGATAGGAAAAATTTGGAAACCACAGCTCTGTCTGCTGTTTGGCTCCCCCTAGAGGCCAGGTGTTCACTGCACTGATCCACCATTCCGGCTTGTGGGAGAGAGCCAGAATCTCTGCCACAAAGGGCATTTACATTCATTCAATACAGTATATTCCTTTTCTTTTAATTGGAAAAAAGAGAGGAATATATTAAAAGGAATTGCAAACCCCATTTGCTCCCGCAGTTGACTTTTCGATAGGTCCTAGTAGGTCGATCTGAAAGATAACCTTTGGCTAAACAATGAAGGCGAAAGAGCAGCAGCAAAAACTTGGAAGGACAGAAACGTAGGAGAAGCTACGTATATATTTCTCCATCTCATGAGAATTAATAGGCTTTAACCGTCTCCTTGCAAAGTCAATGCCCCTATTACTCTTGCCAAGGGGTTACAGTTTGCCCATGTTTTCCCCATCATAGATGCCCCTCTGGAACTTCGAAAATGGTCTTCACGCCAAGTTAGAGGATTGATCTTTCTAGTTAAGGACCGGTTGTTGATGCACAACTGCAGTTTAACCACTGTGGCAGCTTTCTAGGCCTAGAAGTTTCAGACACTAATTCCTAGCAGCCTCAACTATCACAGCTAATGGTCAAGCATGATGGGAGTCATAGATGGAGACATATTGTTGGATACCGCTTGGGGGCATTCTGTACATATATAGTGGTGCCTCGGTTTATGAATGCCTCTGTTTACATAATTTTCGGTTTACAGACCGAAATCCATAAGAAATAAAGGCCCGGTTTACGTTGTTTTCTTTTTCCCCCTGCCGCACTACGAAAGGGTTTTTCCAGGGTGCAGGGCACCTATAACCCCGCCCCTTTTCTAGCACAAACGGATCCATTTCACAAACTGAGGTACTACTGCAAAGGAATCTAGGCTGGAGCAGTTTGGTTTACACAAGCAACCTCTCTCTGGGGTTTCAGACAGGAGTTTTATCTAGTACTGAGCTTGGGGGGGAAAAAAATACTTTTTTGGGCCACAACTCCCAACTCCTGTAGTTAACTTTTTCAAGGTCTGATCTGGAGAGGCTAAGGATTAACCCAGGGAGCTTCTGTATGGAAAGTAGGTGTTCTACCCTGTGCTATGACCATTTCCGCCATTTGGGCTGGTCTTCGTAGATTAAGTTATTTATCAGAATGTTAGAGGAAGTCCTTTAATTTGCTACTTTTTATGTGATGTCTGTAGACCATTCTTCTGTAACAAAAGTGATTGTTGTGTCCTGGCGTTTAAGGTGTCGGACTCAAACCGGAGAGACTTGGGTGTTCATCTCACCACTTGCCTGAAACGAAATCCTCTTCTCTCACTTTTATTGACCTCAAAGAGTTGTTAGATCAAACAGAATAATCACTACATATTACTAAACTACTTGGAAGAAGAGTAATGTGGGCTACGACTGACGGAAATATGAGTAACTTCTCCGTTGTGCTGCTCTTTTCCTTTAGATGCAATTTGCCTCCCGTATCTGAGAAGTATATCACAGACGTTGGCGTAAAGACCGACATCGTGACGGTTAATCCCAGCATAATTACTGAAAGGTCAGTTGTTTTCCTGTCACCTACTTCTGCCCACACTTTCCGCCTGTGTTTCTCTCTGACAAACCTCTGAAAGACTTATTAGCACAGGTGTTTTTTGCTCTTGACTTCTTAATTTCATAGCAACTGAAAATCACAATACTGTTTATTATTAATGATTAATGATAAACGTTGAACCTGGCACACAACTCATCCACTGTGAGTCTCTGGTTGGGGACTGGTTTCACAATATCTAGATGTATTTATTTATTCAGGTAATATCCAACTTTTCTCCCCCTACAGAGGGGGAACCAAGAGGACTTTCAAAATGATACCTGTACAGTGGACCCTTGACTTACAGATGGCTTGACTTACAGACTTTTTGAGTTACAGACTTCTCTGGCCGCAAAATTTAGGTTTGCCTTGCAGACTGAGATTTGACTTACAGACCAGAAAAAAACCAAATTGCTGTTGTTGTTTTGGTGCACAAAATGGTTTGAAACCAGTACGACTGGAAATGCAATGGGCAAGCTATTGGTTGTTCGTTCTGTTCATGCAACGAGCCATAGCATGAGCAGCTACGAGGCAGTTTCCAAGCTTGTGCGAAGAGGTACCATATCATACCTCGTACTGGCCTGGAAGCTCTCTGACTACTTTTATGACAGACTGTTGTGTGATTTGCCTATAGTTATACAGTAATTAGACATGGGAGCTTCGTATTAATCTCCTGAATACGAAGCTCGCCAGCAGAGGGGACCAGCTTTATTGGACTCCCCCTCCGGAACTGGGCGTCCACTTGCCACTTGCTGTGCCTTGTGCGTTTGCAACGAGCCATGAGCAGCTACGAGGCAGTTTCCAAGCTTGTGCGAAGAGGTACCATGTCATACCTTGTACTGGCCTGGAAACTCTCTGACTACTTTTCCGACAGACTGTTGTGTGCTTTGCCTATAGTTATAATTAGACATGGGAGCTTCGTATTAATCTCCTGAATACGAAGCTCGCCAGCACAGGGGACCAGCTTTATTGGACTCCCCCTCCGGAACTGGGCGTCCACTTGCCACTTGCTGTGCGTTGTGCATCGCCAGCGACCTCGAAAGTGCATCCATCATGGCGGTAGCCCAGCTGGTGCTGCCCCACCTCTCTACTCAGCAGGCCACTCAGCCGCTGAACAGGGAGACTGGTCCTCCTGCCCCCTCGCCGGAACGGCCAGCCAAGCAGGGAGGTGGGGCCATGCCAGCCGGGCGACTGCCGTGATTGGCACACTTTCGATGACATCAGTCATGTGCACCACCTGGCAAGTGGTAAGAGGACGCCCGGTTTGGGGGGGGAGGGTCCAATGGGGCTCGCCACCTGTGCAGGTGACCTTTATATAGGTTTTCCCCAGGAGACCAATACAAAGCTCCCATCTCTAGTTATAATACTAAAACCCTCTAATTGCCACATTAAAACAACCACTGAATTGTAACAACGTAAAATAGGCTGCTAGGGACATGGTGGCGCTGTAGGGATGTGGTGACGCTGCGGGCTAAACCACGGAAGCCTGTGCTGCAGGGTCAGAAGACCAGCAGTCATAAGATTGAATCCACGCGACGGAGTGAGCGCCCGTCGCTTGTCCCAGCTCCTGCCAACCTAGCAGTTCGAAAGCATGCAAATGCAAGTAGATAAATAGGGACCACCTGAGTAGGAAGGTAACAGCGTTCTGTGTCTAGTCGCGCTGGCCACGTGACCACGGAAGATTGTCTTCGGACAAAACGCTGGCTTTGTGGCTTGGAAACGGGGATGAGCACCGCCCCCTAGAGTCGAACACGACTGGACAAAAATTGTCAAGGGGAACCTTTACCTTTAAAATAGGCTGCTAGTTAGCTCAGTGGCTTAGCTCTCTGGTAATGGAGACAGAAGTTGGGAGTTTGATTTCCCCCACGGTGCCTCCTTGAGAGGGGCTGGACTTGATGATCCACAGGGTCCCTTCCGGCCTTGCTTTTCAAAGGTTAAAGAATAACTTCCGTTGGGTCTCCAGTCTGCCTGCTCGTTGTACAGTTGTTCTTTCTCTCTCCCCATTGTCAGGTTCCACAGACTAGAGAAATGGAGGAAGCCTTTCTTTGACGTCTTGCAAGTTTACGAGAACGCCTCAGTGCTCCTGCCTGCCTTCTACAACACCCGCAATACGGACGTCTCCATCCGGGTCCGTTACGTCCTGGATGACTTTCAGTCCCAGCAGGCCGCCTACTTTTTCCACCCCCAATATCTCATCAACGTCTCGCGCTACTGGCTCAATCAGGGCGTGCGGGCCAAGCGGATCAGCACGGGGCTGATCCTTGTGACGGCGGCCTTGGAACTGTGTGAGGAAGTGCACCTTTTTGGGTTTTGGGCTTTCCCCATGAACCCCTCAGGGATCTACATTACCCATCACTACTATGACAATGTCAAACCTCGGCCAGGATTCCATGCTATGCCTTCAGAAATCTTCAACTTTCTCCACATGCACAGCAAAGGCATACTGCGGGTCCATACAGATGCCTGCAGCTGCTGTTGAGAGAGGGTCAGGGAAAATTTGATGGCTTTCACGTTGTTTTAAGAAAAAAAGAAAAGAAAAATGGGAGAAGATGCAACACCTTGGTCGCCCCATCCACGTGACTGTTTCTGGGGCAGAAGGAAGGGTCTACGTACCTGAGGTGGCTTTTAGCGCCTTTAAGTATTTATGTCTTCTGAATGTGACCCTGTGGGGAGATTATTAAGTGACCACATTCTGAAAGAAAATATTTGTGACTGTGAGATCTGGACATTTCGTGTAAGAAGAGTTTTATTTTATCTAGAGATTTATGCAATAATGGTTGATCAGCCCGTGTTTCTTCAAAGGCTTTGCCTTTCTCGAGAGCTGGCGTTTCCAGCGCTTTCCCTTTGCTAGCCTGCCATGTAGGCTCTCTCCTCCAGCTTTTATATCCTTGACACACCTTGGACTGCAGCGCCCATCATCCCCAGCCACTGCGGATGATCAGAGCTGTCATCCAAGATGTCTCGAGGGCAAAGGGTCGTGGAGGAAGGCTACGGTAGGGTTCATGTCATTGGGAGGATAGAGACTGTATCCTTTTGCAAGAACCCACGCACTGCCCTAAACCCCATGAAGAATCTCATGAGCCACATTAATGTAGAGGTTTTAGACTTGAAATAGAGCACAACACTGTCATGATTCATTTCTTCCACTCCAAGAAAGCACCAGACCTAAGTATGCTTAATGAGGCAGAAGGCCCAGGCTTGCTGTTGTCCATCCATGGTATTAATAGTCACGTGACTCATCAGGGGATGGATGTGGGGGTGGGGGGGCATTGGTTTTGCACATGGTCTCTCCATCTGCTTCTGTCCTAGGGCCAGAACACAGAAGATGCGTAGCTTTGCAATTAGAAGCAGAGCTAGGTTAAGTAGTAAAGGCTGTGTGTTTATCTTCTAATATTTTTCTTCCAGCTTCAGAATTACAAGTCAGTTTACTTCTGCTTTGGGATTGGCCATCTGGAGGAAAAAAGCACAAACAAAACAAGAGTGGCTTTTGAAGATCTGCTTGTAGGGAGGCAGCATTTTATAACCCCCTGTCTTCCTACTTGTGAAGCTGCACCCAGTAATTGTGTTTTGACCCCCTAAGTCTCACGCAAGTACCACCCCATGAAGAAAAGGGCCCAGTGACCCTTAAAATATGGCATAACTCTCCCTTAACCACTTTCAGTCTATGTGACTCTTAAAAGATTTGTCTGTAGGGAAGGCTGTGCAAATACTCATTGGGAAACATTGTTTTTGAGATAAGATTATTACCACCTAATTTTGTTACAGTGGTGCCCCGCTTTCCAATTATTTCGCATTACGACGAATCCGCTTCACTGTGATGTTTTTGCGATCACAAAACGATGGTCTAAATAGGGTTTTTTTGCTTTGCGCTGATCGGTTCCCTGCTTCGGGAACCGATTCTTCGCAAAACGATGTTTTTTTAACAGCTGATCGGCAGCTTCAAAATGGCTGCCGGGTAATTAAAATGGCTCCCCGCTGTTTATAGGGACGGATTCCTTGCTATACAGGCACCAAAAATGGCCACCGTATGGAGGATCTTCGCTGGACTGTGAGTTTTTAGCCCATTGGAACGCATTAACTGGGTTTTAATACGTTTCAACCTAGTCGGGAAACATTGTTGTTGAGATAAGGTTATTACCACCTTATTTTGTTATTTGCAAATCCATCTGTTATTTGAGGTTTGTTAGGAACATGGGGGAGGGCATGGGAAGGGAATAATAATTATATTTTACTGTGCACAAAAGATTGGTTTTGATGCAACACAACTGCATTATTGAGAACTCTGAATCCAAAATTGGAATAGCCATGATGACATCCACATCCATCTGTCATTTGAGGTTTGTTAGGAATATGGGGGAGGGCATTGGAAGGGAATAATAATAATAATTTACTGTGCGCAAAAGATTGGTTTTGATGCAACATAACTGCATTATTGAGAACTCTGTATTCAAAATTGGAATAGCCATGATGACATCCACCTTCCAGTAGGAGAGGGGCAAGAAATGGAGAAGGATAACGAGAAAGGCTGTTATTGGGAAGCCTTAGCACAGTTTACTGGGAAGTTTTGAGCTCATGCACCAAAAGGAAGGGAATTTGTGCAAGGGTGCAGTGTCAGAACTTGGAAAAGTTAGGTGGTTTTTTTGAGTATTCCCTCCCAAGTTCTGGAAAATGCAAGATTTCACCTTCAGCTCTGCTTATTATCTGTTAAAACCGGAATGGACTTGAGCCTGTTTATCATTTAAACATCATTTATTCAGTACAAACTGTGGGTGCAACTATACCAGGAAGGCATCGTTCTGATTTGCAGCCTGTATTGCGTTTGAAATCACAAACAGTGCTCACACAGGGGCTGCAGACTGATTTGGGTGTTCACTATTCGTACTGGATACAATGCGATGCGCGTTCCAGTCCTCAGCCCCCACTTCTTTCCTTCCTTCCTTCCTCTGGTCCTGCCTCTGCCAATCCTTTTATGAGGCGCAAATACAGGAAATAATGAGGAGGAGGACCCAGTGATAAAGCAATAGGGTAATCTAATGCTAATCTCATACAGTAGGTGTAAGGTTTAAAAAAAAATAAAAAATTTGGAGGATGATCGGGGGAGAGGAAAGAAGGCTTGTGGAGAGTCAGCAATAGGGTAATCTAATAGGTGTAAGATTTTTTTAAAAAAATAAAATAAAAAATTTGGAGGATGATTGGGGGAGAGGAAAGAAGGCTTGTGGAGAGTGTTTCCTCAACTTTGAACATCATGTCCCAACTGCCACACCCCTGAAAACCACCTATAGACAGCCCTCCCATCTTTACAAAAATGTAACACAACTAACTGCATGAGGAAAAAAAAAGCCTTTTTGAATAATTCCAGCTTGAAGATGTAGAAGCACTCCAGTGGCAGAGGGGGGGAAAGCCGCTTTAGGAGCAAAAAGGGCTGGACTGATTCGAATCAGCCTTTGGGCCATGTGGTCTGAGAAAAACAACAACTTCGAATTCACTCATTTGTAAGCAGCACGAATCCCATGGAATGTAATCATCTTGTAGCAGCCTGTGTTGTGATTATTGGAATCCTTCATTAAAAACAAAGAGGAAAACGAGAGGAAACATAACACCTACTAAGATCACTTCCTTCCTGATTTGTGGATAGGTTTAACTCTCCGCCGATAACGTAAACTGAAATGCAAATTTCAGATATAACTTTGAATAAATCCTGTGTCTAGTCCCGCCTAAGGTATGGGACGGGGAGCTAGCAAAGCTGCTCTACCCCCCTTCCTTTGCTAATCCATGATGATTTCATTTTCATTCGCTAACTAACCATTTACTGGAATTCTTGATCTTGTCGTTTTATTACTATGATGCCTATTTTCTTAAACTGAGCATACGATGTGAAAGACAGCCTAGCCTGTTCATTGATGTAAGCCATAACTTAAAAACAACAACAACCAGAAATCAGGGTATTTTCATCTCGTCACTGTGTTTGGGAGATTAATTTAACACTTAACAAATAAAGCGGTTCTATCTGTTCTATTTGAAAAAAAGCATCTAAGTTGTAGCACTGTGTATGCGTGTGTTTTTCAGTGAGTTCTAATGCTTGTTTGTGGACCACGTATAATATGCATTTGTACTAAAGCTATCTACGTTTTTGATATAACATTTCTTGCTCTCTGAACTATATTGCTGCCAAATTCTTTTCCTCGGTTATGATATGCAACTCTACTGTGTCTGCCTGATAAAAAGATTTTGAAAATGGCCAGATTTTCCCTGGCCATGTAAACCTTGTCTTGAATCGTAGAAACAATAGCTGGTCGTGATGAGGAAGAAGTACTCTATACATGTTCAGAAGCACTGTCATCTCTGACCAGCCATTACAGTCAAAGAAACAGTACTGCCAACGGCTGGAGATGCTCCTGTCCTGCTTCCTGCCTGGGTTAAATAGCACTGACCCTTTTTTCCTTTGAACTTCTGGGTAAATAAGGAGGCAAGAGGAGCCTCCACTTCCAGGGAGAAAGCTTGCAAGAAGAGAGCCTTTAAACAGCCAGAGATTATGCTAGGTATTCTTCATGGCATGAGCTCTATCCCTCCCTCTAGTGGCCAGGTGTGGTAAAATGTGATTTATTAAATTCTTTGCATTTTTTCTTTCTTTCAATATTGTTAATATTTAATGTAGTATTTGCAGACTGTAGATAAATGAATGAGCGGCTACTGATCCGACAGATAAGGGGGTCCTACTGTACATACCTATTTCTGGGATTTTTTTTTAATTGAGTATTTTCCAGCAGCGGATAAATCAATCCAGTGATTTGGGGCATATTTCTTTCGGTGCTACAGAAAGCAAGTGTTCTCTGTGAAAGCTCTTCAAATGCTTGAAGATGGCTATCCTAGCACCTCTTGGTCTTCTCTTCTCCAGGCTAAACATGCTCGGCTCACTCATCCAGTGGCTTCCAGACTCTTTATCCATTCGGTCTGGGCAGGTTTCAGGACCTTCTGCTTTTCACTAGGAATGGGATTTCTTTGATGTGCCATCAAAGAAAAGAAAATGATGGATGAAAAAAAAAACAATTAGATGCTGTAAGATTACATCTTCGAAGTCAAAACAAATAGGAAATCCTGCATGTGGTCTCAGAGGGCAGCCTGGCCTCGCCACACTGCTCTGCCAGTCAACCTAGCCCTGTTTTATCAAGTGGGATCTGAATACCAGCCCCATTGGTATTGCTAACATAGCATTATGGTCTGTGATGTTCAGCTGGCACAGCATATGATGTGCTAAAGTATAAGTTAGAGGTTTCCAGCCTGTGGATAGCAAGGAAGCCATTGTGCCGAACATGGGACACCAGTCTTAATGGAATTTGAACCCATCAGTGGCTACATGTGAAAGATGTATATGATGTGAAGAGAAACCAGAGTGTGTGATAATTAGTCATATTGGATATCTACTGTATCTATCTATCTTACACACCATCCCATGGTGCTAGAGCACTCTCTGGGTGGTGTGCAACATAATTAAGCAGTGAACTAGCATTTTAGGTACTCATTTTACCGACCCCGGAAGGATGGAAGGCTGAGTAAACCTTGAGCTGGCTACCTGAAACCGTTGGGATTGAACTCAGGTTGTGAGCAAAGGCCTGACTGCAGTACTGCAGTTTAACCATCGCACCAGTTACCTTAAGAATCAGAGGTAATATTTCTTTGCATACTAGTTGCTAGGTAACACAGATAAGAGGACATTATTACATCCTTGTTCTTCTGGGTTTCTGAAAAGCATTGGTTGAGAAACATAATGGTGGGCTAGATAGGCTTCTGGTAGGGGTGTGCATATTTGTTTCCTCATGCTGCCTGGGGTACTCTGGGAATTGTAGTCCAAGAACACATCTATACTTTCAGCTCTGGCCTGATCCAGCATGGCTCATCTAATGTACATCTCTGCAATGTCGGGGAGTGAGAGAGACAAGCTGGCTCATAGCGTGTGCATGTCCACCCACCAACCCCCCCAGCTAGTGTCCAAATAAGAGCACACAGATACCTGTCCACCTTGCTGTGTGCCCTTCTGATGATAGCACAGCAACAGGATCTCCGCTGAGTGTCTCAAAATCTGGGCTCTACGTATATCTTGGGCTCAAATCATGATAGATCAAAACTACCACCTTGAACTGAACTTAAAACAACTTGTAAGCCAGGGCAGTTGATTAAAGACCTGTGCTACATGCTGCTAGCTAACAGTGTATCCACTGCATTTTTTTTTGCACTCTCTGTGGCTTCAAAGGCAGTCCCATGTAGAGCACATTACAGTAGTCTAATCAGGAAATGATGAAGGCATGGTTCACTCTGGACAAAACCACTTCCCTAAGAAGAGACGCAGCTGAACCAGCAACATTCCAAGCCTCAATATTACTCAAATACAGATTCTGGATTAAAAAATAATAACTTATGGCAAGCAAACTTTGCTTTTTGTGTATGCAAACACTTGTAGAGACACCCCTCC